TAATGATTCTATGATTCTACGATTCTACAAGACAGTTAAACCTCGAGAGTTTAAAAATAAGAGTTCTATGTTATTGTCCAGTTGCTTTAGCTGCAATAGCTCTCCATTGTAATTAGTTGTTAGGATATTTTTAAACATTTATAAGAACAGTTAATATTCCACGCAGTTTAAAAACCCTGATGTGACAATAGCAATGGACATAAAATAGTGACAATTTGTGTAACAGCTACAAACATTGGGGAATGGATGGAGAGGAGAACACTCACTCCCCAATATGCACACACACTTCTGAAAATTGTACCTGTGCCTTTTCAACCTAGAAGAGGTCGGTGAGGTACGGGAAACCACGAAGCTTTTTAGATAGCTATTTAAATTCACGTGACTTGCAAAACTTTCTCCTACTCTCCTCCATACCTCTTAAAGTAATTTTTTAATTTTATTTTAAAAAAGCTTCCCTGTTAATGAAAGTCACAGCAACTGTATGTAATCAGTACTTACTAGTATGTATCTTTGTAATTAACTGTTGTTAACAAAAAAGACAGGTAGATTCCAAGGTTACATTTTACAGACATCCCGTAGTAAAATCTCATTTCACAAAAATACTTTACAGCAGTAAAAGGACGAGTACACTTAAGCACCAGTTCATTAAAAATAACCACTGCAACATATTAACTAATTAAACCATGCCTTCATATTGTGAGAAAGAAATTGAACTGATGCAAATTTCTGTTAAGACAAAACATGCAGTACAAAAACATGGGGTACAGTACAAAAAAGTGTGTCTTAAGAGTCTGTCAAAAGAGTATTGCTTAAGGTTGCACAACAGGCAACTAATTTAAAAGCAGTGAACGTACAGAAAAGAATAACAAGGTTGAGCAATAAGAACATAAACAGCCAGTAATACTAAAAATAAAACCAGAAAATGGTAGTTAAACAGGGGAACTGCCATGCAAATAGACAAGCAAGCCCGAAGACTACTTATCAAAGATAAACTAGAAGGCATAAAACAAAAGGTATGTGACTAGAACTGGATGAACCCCACTTGGCACACAACTGCATCTTCCAAGCAGTAATTCAAGCACGTATGAATTTGCAGCATCAAGCAAACTACGGATAAAACAAAAATATTCCTTATGCTAATACTGCCCAGAAGACATACACAGGCAACTACTTTTATCATTAAACGTCATTCTTAAAGGGAAACTAGACTTTAAGAGATTCCTTCTTCATGAAGCCAAAGAGAAAATAAATTGACATGACTTTATATACCTGTAAAAATGACAATAAAGAGAAATAGCAAGGATTTGCAATAAGCTAAAGCAATATATATTTCTAACGTTCCTGCAAAAACCAAAGCATAGAAAGTTTGGAGTTCATTAACAGTTCCCTTGTTCAAACTAAAAGGCCCAATCCTCTGTCTGACACATCATAAATCTGAGACAGCACATCTGTTATAATGTTTAAGCTATGATGCGCCAGAAGATTACGACCCATTAGTGCAAATGGACAGAAGAAGAAAGTTACTCTAGTTTCTGTGAACAAATAACACCTTTGTTACCTTTTGAGCATAAGTGAAATTCCATCTTTAAAAAAAACAGTAAGAAAGAAAAATAAAAAAGGGATATGGATATTCTAATATAGCAAACTAACTCACATGCTTACAACCACCTCATAAAAGAGAATACAAATAAACAAAGCAGATACTTTCTCTTCCTTCCTTACAAATATACTGTCACATTTGAAAAAGCACTGAGACCAGACCCTTCCTCCTCACAGAAACAAAAAGGATGTATAGATTAGACGAAAAAGACTCTTGAAAGAAAATAATTCTCAAGCAACTTCATCTCACAGTGCTAACACCCAAATCTACTGTTTCTCCACTCACAGCATCTAATAAAATTGTTTTCCTCTTTTTTGTAGTCACAAACATGTACTTCTAAACTTAGAGAAAAATATGAAGTTTTACTGATAACGGAGTTGTGCAGAACTGAAATATTCCTCCTGCAGAAAATTTTCTATTTCCAGTAACCTTTTTTTTTTTCCTGAATCAGTAAGTCTGATATGCACAATATTTTGATAGAGAGGACTAAAGCACTCCCCAGCTTTTTATAAGACTGCTAAAAAACTAAAAACCAACAGGCCTGTACTTCTACTCCCCACACCACCCCCCCAGCAAGTTATCTATCAGGTTACTGTTCAGACATCAAGGAGATCATCAGTCAGTCAGGAAAATAAGCACGTATTCATTTAAAAAAACAAAACCAAAAAACCAACAAACAACCAACCCAACCCCCCTCCCCCAAACCCAAAAACATTCACCATGGAACATTTAATGTTCAAAGAGAATATCTTTTTGTCAGGAAAAAAAAAAAGAATAATTTAATTGTAATTGTGATTGCACAGGACAACTATTGCATATGCTGAACATTTTAAAATAATCAGCATTCTTTGGGATCTGGCTACAGCACTGGGGAAAATAAATAGCTAAAATTTGGGAAGTAACAGTCTTTTCTGTCCCTTTGTATTACCTACCTGACTTTCCATGCATTCATCCATAGTGGTACTACAGTACGGTTTTTACCTGCCTTTTGCATACTCTGCAGTTTCTTTTTCTTCTGTTTTCTGGATCAAGTATAAGCATTTTCTCTCTGCCTCTGTAGAGGATCCTAGCTGTGGACTTGCTCAAATCTTTCTGCTTTCTTCCAGGTCTCAGCAAAATTCTTAGTAGTCTTACATTACCATATGCGCTCTTTCTCACGGAACGTCATGCATGTTTCCCCACAAACTCTAATTATTAAATTTCTTTTAAAGCAGGACTATTTTAGACAAAGTTGTTCCAACACAAAATCATTTTAAAGCCACGTCCTCTTCCTCATTCCATTTACCAGAACATGCAAGCGGTATTAACAAACATGTCGAGGATGAGCTCCTTGAAGAAGTCTTATTTACATAGTTTCGTAAGAAAATATAGTATTTCTAAGGATAACTATGAAGAACCTACCTGTTTCTCACTTTCCTGGAGATGGCAGTTTTCATCTACTGCATCTTGAATGGATGTCTTAAGTCTCTCTGTATTAATCTGATACACTTTTAGGGTGGACTTGGCCTAAGTGAAATAAGAAAGTGTGCTGTTTAAACATTATAGGTGAAGATGTAAGTGGTGTCACGATGGTATTATTGGACTTATTCTTAGGTTTTCTAGCTGTGCTATATACGTATTCTCACATTTAAAAAATTTCAACAGTTTTTGCTGATTGTAGTTTTGCAACACTATGCATCACTGTGGAGTAAGAACGCAAAGCAAAGACAAGGTAACTGTACTTCCCAATAAATGCCAACCACTGTATGAAATTCAAAGTTGCTAAATCAAATCACACAGAAGTACTAAGCTTTACAAAGTCTTTTGGTTTACACAGCATATTATTTCTGCACCCTTAACAGAAAAAAGATTAAAACAGTAACTACACGGAGGACAGAGAAATTGCAGATTTGAAAACAGAAACTATAAAGATGGGACATACCTCATCAATTTGTGACTGGATAGATTTTGCTTCATTTTCTAAAGACTCCACACTCTTCTGAATTTCAGCCACCTGAAAATTATTAGTTGTCATATAGCTTCTTTCACAGATTTGACTGAAAAGGTCTAAGCAATTAATAAAGTTATTTTAATTTTCAAACTGAGAAGGTTCTACTGCCAAATCAGTAAAAACAGCTTTTCTTCTTTGGAGTATTTTCCTTTATGGGTGTCATTCTTCTAGTATGCTACAGGGAGTATGAGGGGAAACAAAATAGGAAATGCAGTTGGTTTTTTTTTTTTTTTCTTCAAAAAACCCAAAGAGAATAGTTTGTTTTCTCCATAGAGAATTTTTTGTGGGATTTTTTTTTTTTTTAAACGAATGGTAACAAAGATAGGATTCTATTTATTCTTACCAAGTTATCACTTTCTGATTGCTTAGATTTTTCTTCTTCCAGTTCTTTTTCTAGATTCTCTATTTCTTGCTTGAGTTCCAAGTTTGACTTGTTCAGTTTTTCATGCATTTCCTAAGTCAGGTTGTTTTGACAGTTAACATAAAATATTTGACATTAATTACATATGAAGACAACAAGTATGTTTTAAATATGATAGCAAAGTAGGTTTAACAAATTTCACCATATCAAGGATAAATCTCAAAGTATTCCAGAGACTCTTCCATGTTAACAAAACCTGTAACAATTAGCTCTATAGAATCTGAGGTGCAGAATTAAATAAATCTATTTACTTTTTTGTTATGTAAATTTTATAAAGCCCATTAGGTATTTGATTCACTTTTTTGGAACTCTTTTACAAATATAGTCTGTTTGGGGCACATAAACAATGTAGTGGTAATTTTTGTTTACAACTGTGCTCCAGTAGCCTATATTTAAATTAAATCAGATGTGAGAAAAAATACTTCATGCACTACTCTCTCTCTCTCCTAGAAACAGGAACAATTTACTTTTTAAAAAATCAAGTATTGTCTAATATGCCATTTGCTCTAGTATCAATGATTTTTAATGCAATTGTTACAAAAACTTCTCTTAATTTAAATGCCTCGCTTTTATGTCAGGACTAAAATAACTAAAATTAAAACAATTAAGTTTTTGGGGGGTTTGGGGGGGGTTTTGTTGGTTTTGGTGTGTTGTGGGTTTTTTTTAAATATGAAGAACATTTTCCTAAAATACTGCCTTAAATTGTAGAAATAACAATTTCCATTTATCTTTTTACCTCAAAAAAAGATGTGTCTGTTGATTCTTTCACAACGTTATCATCCTTCAGAGACAATTCTAAATCTTCAAACTGAAAAGGAAATACTTTATGTCAGAATGCATGTAAAGAATTGCTTAAATAATAGCATTAATTTATGATGCTCTAGTCTGAAACATAGCCACCACCTAAATATTCACAAATGCACCTTGCTGGAAATTAGGAAAGCCTTAGCCCTGGTAGATTATCCCAGTGGCATAAAACAGAGACATTTTAAAGTTGCTTCCAGTGAAATAGATCATATTAAGAGTTAAAGGCAGAACTTGCTAACACCTTAATTGCACTTAAAGGCGCTGACAGGAAAAAGCATTTGAAGGATCACTTTAAAAGGTTTTAAACATCTTACTTTTAGGTAAGTTTAATACTTCAAATACTTAATAAATGGAGCCCATTTCTGTGACACATCTGAAAGCAATAGATGAGGACCATTACCTCTTTTTTGCAAAGGCTGAGTTTTTCAAGAATTTTACACTTGTCTTCAACTAGTTCAGCAATTTTATTGGCAAGCTGGTTTTCCCTTCCTAAAAAAGAAAGACATTTAAGTGTTGCAACATCCAAACAATTAAAAGGAGGGAAAAAAAGAAAGAAAAAAAAAGAAAAAGAAAGTCATACTCCAAATAAACAGTAAGAAAAATAAGCTTACCTACATAAAGTCGACTTCTAACCTGAAATAAAAAGAATAAATACTGAAAATGTCTGATCAATTACTATTGCATAGTATCTGAAAAATAATTTTTTAAGCTGTGGTTCCATGATCAGTTTAACCATGGAACTTAAAAAAGGAATATAAATACAGGCTGCTGTTAAAAATGGGCAATTGCATTCTCTGCTCTTAACCCCTCCATGGCTATGTGTTTGCCTTGTCCTTCTCCCACTCTGATTAAACAGAGAGAAGAGGGGAAAGAAGGTTAGTTCTCCCTTTTATAACACACCTCTTTATAGTCATCACATAACCACAACTGCCAACACAAAGTGGTAGTGGACACACACAGCCAAAAGACTAGGAAAGGGGAGGGAGTGGGAAGCTCCATGTGCCAGCTCCGACCTAACTTCCTATGAGGAAAAAACCCCACACGTTATAATACATAACAGTTAGAGCTGCAGTAACGGTACTACTTGATGGGCATCCTGCCCAGACGCAGCTCTGTGGGAAGTGCCAAATCAGCAGCTGCCACAGGGGGTCTAGTGCCTTAGAATCAAAATCTAACAAACTGCGGGACAAAATCTGTCACAAATGGCCTGGACAAGAGATGCAGAACTTGGCTGAACCCACAAAAACTTTACAACACAGCATTCCTTTCAAGGCTTGGCTTGGATCATGTGCCTAACACACAATGGGTCCCTCAGATTCTCCCTGTTTCCTCTTGATTTAAAGCCATGGGATGGCCAAGGAGTCCAAATAATAGAAAAAGGGGAAAAAAGTCATAAGCATACCTTATCCTACCATCCCCCCAAAAACCCAAACCAAACCCCATTACTTTTGCGTAAGTAACCATTAATTCTTCAAAGAGCAGTCAGTGCAGTTCTAACTACAGGTGACTGAAAAAGCTATCAATAACTTCTGTAATACCTAATGCCTCAGTGACATGTGCAGGAGGAAAACAACACTAGAATTGCTGCTTGACTGATTTCAGCTGAAACGCCTCTTTCATACCACCTAGAGGGATGCTGCTAGAAAACAGAAGGAACAACCCAAATTACAGGTACGTTAACTGATACAAATACAGATCCCGTTCCAGACAATCTGGATCGCTGCTGCAGAATAAGGTGGCATTTTCCAGATCTAAGTTGATGTTAGAACCCTAAAAATGCAGTTGCTCATTCTGAAAAATGAAACCACTATGCAACCTATCTTCAAACATGAGCATCATTACACCTAGCACCAAAATCACATTCTGTCTATTTAAGAGTATGCAAAAACTGGGGAGAAATTTAGAATACTGAATTATGGACACTGACCCCATTTCATTAGTAGGAAGAGCATGATAGGCAGCTGTTATTACTCAGATCCTTACTTACTCAAAATAGAAGACAACCCTTACCTCAAAAATATAATCTGATTTGTGCGTTAAAAGGTTTCAGTACTGCATTTGTCAAAGTCATCAGCTTAGTGCTCACAAACAGCACTCAGTAAAATCAGTTCAGTGTTCCAATAAACAGAATCAAGGTCACTGTCCGAATAGTTTTAAAATGCCTCCCTTGATGGGAATCCATCTGGATTGCTTTTGCTTACAATTACCTTGAAAGACCTGACCTGAGCTCTGTAGTCACAGAAATATCAATACACACAGCAATACATACACCCTAGGGAAGACCTCTATGTCCCGTGAAAATAATTTAAGGGCTGACTTTGAAAGTCTGGTGTAGAAATTAAAAAGGGAAGGAAAAAGGAAGCCTTACTACAGTGAGCTTCATTGCATTTCCTCTAATGACAACAGTCACTCAGTACACATCCAAACACTTACTGTCTTGACAGAACAGACTACTTCTCAATTTCTTTTAGAGGGATTCTAAATCCAGTCACAACAGATTTAAAACTCTGAAGCATTATATATCTTGCACAGAATAACAATTTCAATTCAAACCATTCAATTCAAACCATTAATACACTCTACATATCCGCATGTAATTTGAACACTTACTGATTGATAACTTCTATACAGGAACAAGAGAATTGTAAAGGCTCCAACAATGCCAGCACAAATCACTATTTCCCACGGGAAACCATACAGATCAGGACCAGGTCTCATATCTTCAGGCAGTGAAGCCACAGCCTGAAAAATAAAGTAAAAAGTTTCAACTAAAAGAAAAGAGGTTAATATTTTCAACAGAAATAGACATTACATGTTGACTTAGTTTACTTCTAAGGCTTGTACATAGATTTTTTTCCAAAACTCTGAGAAAATGGTTAACAGAAGCCTTTGATTTTTAAATTATACATTTACCAAGTGAAGAAAAAAAATAAGAAAAGAGAAAAGTTCCAACAAGATACGATGATGACTAGATAAAGCTCTGAAAACTTTTCCTTCTGAACCTACCAATTACGGTAAATACTCCTTCGAGTTGTCTCCATGTTTCACTGTTAGAAGAATCAATACTAATAAGTATTTTATGATTTACTGGTAGAAAATTTGTTTGTTAGAAAAACCTGCTCAACCAACTTCATGCTAAAATAACATATCGAACACAGTCAATGATTTAACACTTTTTAAACACTTAGACACACTCACATTTTGTTTGTAAACGATATCGCTATTTTCTCAAAGACATAACCTGCTTAATGTAGCTCACATTTACTACGTGTGACCTGTGTTTAAGAACGTGTTACTGTGCAGTAAAGTCTTAATCTCCATTTCTCTAATAAAATGGCCAGACTACCCCCATCTCAAGCCAAGAGAAGGGCGTGTGTGCGTGTGAAATCAGGGAGCGTTCGTTTCACTGCTTTGGCTTTTTGAGACCTCTGTTATTCTCGACGAAACGGCCAGCTTCAACAGGACCCCACGCCCCGGGGTGCCCCAGGCCCCCTCCCGGCCGCGCAGCTCTCGGCAGGCTGCC